CCTTTGGTTCAGGGGTTTGCTTTGCAACCAGGGCTTTGGCCAAATCTGGCCAAACATACTTAGCTAAGCAATGCAACTGGCTCAATTTGAGACCATTGGCGCTTGCCAAGCAGAGACCATGACCTTTAGACAGCTCGGCAATGTTTGTCTATTCAACTGCCAAGCAGAGAGCATGACCTTCAGACAGAAAAGATATGCTGACTTATTCAATTTGAGATCATTGTGCTTGTCAAGCAGGGACCATGACCTTTAAAGTACCGTGCAAACTATGTAAAAGAAAGAACTGAAACCGATAACCTTTAAGTTCTTTTAGGGACTGAGGCTACCCCAAACCATAAATGAAGGAGCCTTGCATTTGCCACATAATATTGCACAGGGATTGTAAGAACCCCACTCTGGGCACGGACTGAGAACTCACAAAGACCCACGCAAACCAGTCTCTCACCAGTGACGGCTCACGATTTGCACTTTTAGAAGCCACACAGTGCATGTCTAAGTTCTAGTTTCTCCACACCATGGTCCACTATGGCTAAGAACCACCAAAAACGACCACAAAATCTTTCAACACCGGAGTTTCGTCTATGTGTCCCATCCCCCTGAGCTGCAATCTCAAGAACTGCCAGTTTTTTGCAGCGCGATTCCGACTGTTGTCGGTGCACGATTCCAACTGTCACCAAGCTTGCACTCTCCGCTTTCACGTGTTTTAACACTCTTTTGCTGAACTTTCAAGTAACATTGCAAGCTAGTTGCAATCTTTGAGGCCACAGGAGATGAAGCAAAGGATGCTTATGTTTTCTTTGAAACATCGAAAGGGTATCAAACCCTTTCAAAAGATTTCAAGGGCCTCCGCTGTCACCTCATTTGTTACGGATGACACATGATTGCCGATCGCCGATCGCACGGGTCAGGGGCTCTCGCACCAAAGCCTGGCCGAACGCCGATCCCGCATGGTTCAAAAGCTGTGAAGTTTTCAGAAAACTGAAAAGCTGAACAACATGTCAGACAAACTCATTCGATGTCCTCAACATCATCACATTCTGCAGGTTCTTCCTCTTCCCCCTCAGCTGTAGCGTCCTCCAATTCAGGCGCTTCCTCATCCGCCAACTCAGTCGACGGTTTGCTCTTGGCCAAAGCAGCGGCCACCATTGTGTCCTTAGGAGTTCATTGCGTCCGCAGTCACATTCTTTTGGATTCTTTTGTGAGCATTTTGATCCAATGGAATCCATTGTTGGCTAAGACACAATGAGGGCCGATCCAGCTTTAACATCACCCTTTGTGCGAATCAATTCATCTCGAACCGCAACCTTCAATCGAAACTATGCAAAGAGAGCCAACAAAAAGATGCAGCGCATTCAAGTTGCCAACAATTTATGTTCACCATTCACTTTGCACCAAGTAGCTGCGATGTCCTGCAGTGTCTCCGCACTGAGGCCATCCACCGGCTTCAACTTAGATGCAACATGATTCAACAAAAATGTTTCTCATTGATCCTGAAAACCTCTAAGAAGTTCATGTCATTGCTTTGAGTGTCACATCAAAGGGACTCGTAGCTTTTCACTGCCGTTGATCTTGAAACCATACATGCCGTTCTTGTACAAGCCTTTCGAAATCGAGACCTTGGAAGGTTCCTGGCGTGCCTCCGATGCAGCTGCAGGACGTTTCATTTGAGTCTTCTTCACGGATTTGACAGACTCACCACAAGCTTGACAGACTCACCACAAGCTTGGAAGGTTTCTTCTTCACAGGAGATGCTTTCGGCTTCACTGGCAAAGAAGCTTCAGATTTTGGAGTAGCTTTTGCTTTACCCTTAGGTTTAGCTTTTGGAAGCACACCACCCTGCGGCTCTGGCGGTTTGTGTTCCTCATCAGATAATGTATCGACAGCATCCAATGCCATCGCACACAAGCCTAAATAGCCGATCATGAGCTGATCCAAAAAGGCCTATGGGGGAAGACCAAACAAATAATTCATTCAAACACCCTTGCATTGCAGGACTGGTTCTTCAGATTTGCAGTGTGGCATCTCAGAGCTGAGCCTGGGTTCATTTGGACTCGACCGCCAATCCGGGTTGCATTGAAGCACACTACCCATGGCACAGGTTTCTCCCACGCCTTCTCAAAAAGCTATGTGATTCGACATTTGGAGTGGCATAGGTGTTTCATTCAGCAAAGCTTGTCAAGAGTTGAACAGTGAGTTGAACATACTATGAACTATAAATCCTGGAGTGTCAACACCACTAGCCATCCATGCAATCACACCCCAAACCCCAACGGTTTGGAAGCATGTCACTTCAGTTTGACTGCGTATCCATCTTTGATGGTGATCACACCCAACAAATAGAATTTTGGCTTGATGGGCTTCAGCACGGCGGGTACTGATGCATCCACCTTGACCTAGAGGGCAAGTTTGAGGGGTAGACACAAAGATTGCAATTCTCAAATTCATGTTTAAAACATGGCACTGTACATGTATTGGGATGGGTTTACCACAAAAAGCATTCACAACATTGCCTCCCACATCAAATTGCACAGCTGGCATTTCGGCAACTGGGAGTATTTGGCATTGAACGTAGCGCCCAGTTGCACGGACCGCATGCTCATCCGGTCGACATCACTTCCAACCTCCTTGGGCCTGTATGCATTTACACTGCCCATAGGTGAGATGTTGTAGCGATAGGCCAAAGCCCTCCCATCAGGTCCAGCCTGCCAATTTAGGAACATCAACTGTCATGGGTGGAAGGATGGATGGAGAGTGGGACGACAATGAAGGGATGGAGAGGGGATGGATGGATATGATGATAGCATGGAGGGACAAATGGATAGACCCACAGGTCGATAGACATTAATGAGGTGGATGGATGGTTGGATGATGGGTGGATGGGTTGGATGAAGTTGCGTGGGTGGATATGGAAAGCTCATAAAAAGAAAGTAAAGGGACAAGTTTAAGCAGATGGACAAACGCAGCTTTCAATAGGCACTGTTTTGACACATGCGTTCAAAGTAAATACTGGCCTTAGGCTGCACACTGTGGTCAATAATTCTGATCTCGGTTGCGCCCTGATGCTTGGCAACGTCACACATGATCTCGGCAAGAGATTTGATCTCTTTGGTATCCGCCATGGCCACCAAGGAGTTGTCTTGGTTCATGACCCAGCCAAGGTGCGCATCCGAGGGATCAGCACTGCCTGGAAATATTGAAGATAAAAGGAATATAGGATATTATAGGTGTTTTTATGTTTCTTTTTCTGACCATGTTTAAGCCTTCGTGGTACATCAGCAAAAGTCCCTGGCCTAGCGGTACTTCTTGGAATTGGCCAACATTGAAGCCAAAGAGCTCACCTGGTGGAACCTCAACGACAGAGCCATTCCCACTTTTATTGATAAGCCACAAGTGGTTGCCACTGGTGATGCAAATCTTCACCCCTGATACTCGAGGGAGGTCTGCCATGCACTCCACCCTTAGCACATAGCGACCCCAGTTGAACTAGATCCCACTAGGAAGCCACTGCAAAAAGGATGAAACCTTCAACATCCTTCAACCAACCTTCACCAAACACAAACATAATACCAATACCATCAAAGCTGCGTGTTTCCAGACTCAAAGTCACTCATGGAAACCTCATCCAAGTTGAGCGGCTTGCGGAAATTCAGCGGTGCATCGCCTGTCCACTCAGGCGACGCGAGCGTCCTGGTCATGGTGGTGGTGGCGGCTGCAACTGGCTTTCCAGGACTGCTTCGATTGCTGGCTGCATGGTAGGACCTCAGAGCTGCAGCCATGTCAGCATCCGCAGAGATCTTCTCTAAGAACTCTTTCAAACCAGCTTGTTGCGAGTACTTCTGCTGCAGCAATTCTGGAAGCCTTGGGGCCAATCAGAAACATGTAGTTTTCGATGTTTCTTTATGACCAGAATTGTGTGTTCCATTTTGCTCATACATGAGACTGCAAGCAAAAAACTTGATTTCACCTTCATTGACAACCAAGCTCTGCAAAGTTGGAAAAGCCTCGGAAAAGCCACTGGCTTCTCTGGTCTTGGGACCTGCTTTGTCACATCCATCCCAATAGTCGGCGATGAGCCGACCCATCAGCACTTCATTGGCAGCACTTAGCTCATCAGCATTGTCGGAGTGATACACCCCCAAGAAGCGCAGATCCAATTCCCGATTCGTTTCCATCAGGAAAGCTGATTGCAAGTCCCACGTCGCCAAGGACCACTCACTGAACCTGAGCCGGTGAAAGGGTCCAGGATGGATATAAAATTTTGTTTTTCATCAAGACTGGAACATGTGCGAAATCAAGCTCACATTGAACCCTAGCGTGAACATTAGAACTCAGCCTGTTGGGCAAGAGGTCACACACCAGCACCGGCTGCTGTGCATTGCTCGAAACACCTTCAAGCAAGTGCTTGATGATGCCAGAAGTTGCACTGATGCCTCTCTGTTGGACCTCAAAGCCATGTCAGCCAATCCTGATCCAACATCTATATCCAAAATATGACCTGAAGTTCCGAAGTATAAACACGCCAATGATTTGAATCAAGGAACACGCCAATGTGGCGCTAGCGATCTCTCGGGATCCGGATTCTGGAGTTCTCCAACTCTGCTTCGTTCGATGTCGCAAATGCTTCCCAGGAGAGCTTTGGACTTCGTGAAGGCCGAGTTCGACGAGGCACAAATGGCAGCCATACCTGGGCAGCGACAGGGCTAGGTGGATGATGCTTTTTGGAGTTGTTGAATACCACTGCAATACAAACTTTCAAAAAACAAACACTGACATGACAACCCATGTGCATGAAAGGTGCATTGTTGCGAAGTCTTTCTTTTGTCCCCCCCATGCTGGGCATCAGCGTAGTTGATCGCGAGCTCGAAAACATCCATGCACCTGGAAGACAATGGCATGAAACTAGTTTGACATGTAGGTGCGATCTAGAACGGGAAAGGTAATTGGTTTCATGTTTTTTTTGCAAACAGGGCACGCCCCCACTTTGTCCTCCAAAAGTCTTCGGTTCTTCAGCACTGAGTCTCGCTTCGTGCTAGAGTGACATTGGGGCATGCAAAAGAAGGCAACTGAGCTGGTGTTTCCAGAGCTCACCGACGCACAGAGTTGAATGGCCTCGTCAATTGATATCTGACCTGAGAGGCACAAGTCAGGCGCACTTAACCTTTTTGGGAATCCATAGACTTGCAAAGAGTAATGCAAGGGGCGTGTGGGCCACAGCGTTGCATCGACCACAAGGATTGTGAGCCTAAGCCATAACATATTGTTTTCCTGTTCTATCTATGTCTTCATGATTACGCAAGCAATGTAGTTTCGATCAAGAAGCCCGTCGGGTCCCATCTCCGCTTGGGCTGATACGATGGTGCTGTGCGCTAACACCAGCGAATTGACATGAATCAGTTGATGCTTCCGTTCCAGAAAGTCACTGCACCACTCCTTACCTTTTTGAAAACGGTCATTGATGTGCTTGAAGTCCAGCGCTCCCTGGATCAGCTCATGAGAACATGGTTTCGTCTATGGTACAATCATGTATAATCACTGTTTTACTTTGCTGACAGACTTCAATTAGCTTTGTTTTTTAGAAGGCCTGCTGTTCAGCGTATGTTTGGAACTTCTTGGTCCACAGCTTGATCTTCTCTAGATCATCTTCCATTTGAAGCACTGTTTGATGCCATGTAGTTACCAATAGCTGAGCACTCAGCCTCAAAGTTCAACGTCGCAACACATTACAACATAGACTTGGTGTGTTTTGTGCACATCTGCCAGGAGACTCTGCTGCTTTGTCGCGGTTGTCCTTCTCCATCTGCAGATCAGACACAGGCCATGATCTCATTTTCATGCCATGACTAAATGACATCAGGCCCTGGCCTGAGCATAGTACTTCTGAATATGCGAAGAAAAGATGGAGACTCTTTGCAAATCTGCTGGTAGCAACTGTGTAAGATCTGCATCTCCATGACGCAACTCGAACCTCACAGCACCGTTGCCCATAAACAACTTTGTCAGTTTGAATGGTTGTGAATAAAGACTACTGCGGTACGATGTAAGATAGAGATGGCTAAGTTTATCGCGTTTTGTGGATGTCGGGAAGGCAACGGTCTGCAAAGGCTGCAGGGATCATGGTTTGGAACTGCTCCAGGCAAGCTAGGAACCCCCCCGCAGATTCGCTGTAAGCTTTCCTCAATTGTTGGAGATCAGATCTGGAATCGTTGTTACCCATGTTGACACAGTGTTTGACACGGGAAGCAGTTGATAAACCCACAAATGAGCTGCCTAGAGTCCACATCTTTCAAGTTCCAAGGCCGGCGGTTCTTGGGTGCAATTGCCAGCCAGTCCTTCTCCAAGCGCACGACCAAGATTCGCAACAATGCAGGTGAGTTTGTCAGCTGCTGTTTCCACGGTGCTAGAATTCCAGTCGCCGAACAAAATCCACCATTCAGCAAGTTGGCACTCAGGGTCTCATGATTCAGGAATCGCGGTTGCGTGTATTTCCTCGAATAGACTTTCACTGAATGATTTTAGCACTTCTATGAACTTTTGCTATGAACATTTGTTTGACTATCTCTGAGTTGCTATTAAGTGAACTACATTCTTCAGAAAAAGCAACGACAAGACTCTGCACCAATAGCGTCAACACCTGCTTGATTTCAGAAGGAATCCTCTGAAGCAGGTTCACAGCTGCGCCACATTCCTGTTTTCCAAGGCTGTACGCGTGGGCGAAGTTTGCAATTCCCTCAGTGGCCTCCCAGGAATGGTCGAAAGACTTCAACTAGTCATGACATGTTGTAGTTTGATGTAGTTTGATGCCATGAACAATCATTGTCAGTCTATTGTCCACCTCGAGACTTCCAAGAACTTGTTCTCGCGACATGCCACCGCGAATCATCATTTCCAGCTGGTGGACCAGATTAAACGCATTAGGCTTCCTCCTCACAGAGGAGCCCAACGTGACTCCTCACAACTACCAGGAATTTCAAATTACTTCCTCCTCACTAGTAACTACTAGTAACTAGTAACTAGTAACTAGTAAAATAGTTGTCGCTCAAGCCCGGCCTCTGTTTGTGCTGACAGCGGTGCTGAGCTCTGAGTTCACAGCAGTGCCATAGATCGTGCTGAAGCTCCTGCGCAGAACATGAATAGAATAATTAACAAGGGAACGGAAGAGTAAACATGAGTACACGTTGTTGAGCACACCCAATTGGGATGCAAGCAAGGCGCTCGCGGACATGGTCTGGCATGGCCTGCATGCTCATGTGAAGCAAACATGTTCTTTTGCAAGGTGTTGCAAAGCAAAAGTCCACAGAACCTGGCCTGCAGCAGATGAGGATTCTGGTAAGCTGCATAGCAGACCGTCAAACAGCATACGCTTCTATTCCAGCCCTTCACCATAAAGGCGTTCCCTGGGCTCAGCAACTTGACATCTTCGATGCCAAGATCTTCATGGGCTCGAATCTGCGTCAAGGGCTGGCTAAGCCAGCTGTTCTGCGTCAACGCACAGCACACCTTTTCCACTCCTGGTTTGTTTGCGTCTGTCATCATGCCGTTGAGTAGTATTAGTTGACATAGGCTCCGTTGCACATCCTAAGTATTTCACATCCATTTTAAGACTGCAAGCAAAGAGATGCTTTCAAAATATATCAAACCTCAAGCTGTACTTGCTGAGCTGCTATGTCACCCGTTCCACGAAGACCTAAGTCTCCCCTGAAAGGCAGTTGCCACGGTCGGAGTTGCACAGCACCCCCATTTCGGAGGTCAGCCAATCCACAATATGTCCTAAGTCGAAAGCGACGATCTATTCTTTTCTTTCAAAGCTGTGTCAACAGAAACCAAATCTCAGCGACTGACACCCCCGAGGTCGCTGGAAAGCTGTTGTCCAGGAACTTGAAGAAGCCAATGGCGTTGGCCTGAGAAGCAGGTGGTGAAGGATTTCAACATGATTTCACATCACAAAAGATTAAATATGAAAGCCTCATCGGAAAGATGTTGAGACAGGAAGATATCCACGGTCAAGCCCTTCTCCACAATCTCTTCTTTCCTGGGGGGTGTGTGACACAAATATATACGATTCCTTTTTTGGTGGGGTTTGGAGGCTCAGGAAGATGCGTGCTTGTATGATGCGGATTCAATATGATCTAACATCTAATTGTGAAAGTATACTACTGGAGCAAATTTATCCAAGGTTCATCCATTCCTCAAACATCACCATGTGAGGTAAGGCCATCGCATCTGGAGAAACTCCTTCTCCAGATTTTGCCTTCTTCGGTCTCTGTGCCTGAGGCTGGCCACCTGATGTCCTCTTCTTGGGCGGCATGCTGGGCACCTGGCAGTTTTGCGACGCGGGAATTGTGTTTTGTGAAGTGAAGCATCTTCACAAACAACGCTTGAAATTTATCTATAGTGTTTGTGAATAAATACGACCCGATTATTCACAAACTTCAGTCTCCCAGGCTGCCGTCTCAAGGCCAATGTAGGCTGAACACAAATTTTGTGAATTGTGACGTGGGAACAGGTGGTTTGTGAAGAAATACGACCCGATTATTCACAAAACAGCTCGGTTGGGGGATGCCTCAAACTGTTTGGAACAATCTCTTCACAAAACCAGCGGGGGTTCTTCACAAAACCAGGGTCCCCAGTCCATCAACCACTGCTTCATCCCAGAGCTGACTCTTTTCCCATCTAGATGCTCATCGCTTCAGAAACAATCTTGATTGCTTCTGCCATCGGAACTCCATGTGACCAAAGCCTGGCGGCGGCAGTGTACAAGGCTTGATGTTTCCGAGCATTCCCGTACCGTAGAAGTTCCCCACGATCTGGCCGCTGGTGCACCATGTTCAAGGGATTTGGGGCCTTAAGCGTCCATTTCTTTCGAGTATAAGTCAAAAAGACACACTGCAAAGAAATTAGGTTCTGACCGCATCCAAATCTCGACCCACAGCTGCCGGCTGCGCGGCCACTCCAGGCCCAACACCAGGCCCAAGATGAGGCAGGGCCCTCAGAGACTGTGGAGTGATGTCCAAACAGAAACTTTGAAATATAGTATATAAATATATATAAATATAGTATATAGTATTGACTTGCAAAAACATAGATTTCACAACTGGGGTTTGCACCAATTGACATCGAGAAAGGGTTCTTGTGTGTGAACACCATTCGCATATTCTTCCAGCGCTTGAGCTGCCGCATGCATGTCGAAAGGATCAGCGCCTGGCAAACTTTTCATACCCGAAAGTTCATGCTGATTCTGTGTCATTTCACTTAGGCCCAAGCTCATCAAAGCTGCATACTTTCTATAGGCCCGGTTCTCTTCAGATTGACGGGCTTGTCCCAGAAGACTGCGCGAGTCAGCGATCAAGCCGGACAACGATGTGTTTCCAATTCGATCTCACAAAACATATATGATGTTTGCCTGGTGGTGAATCACCTTGCATTCCACGGGCTACCAATTCTGGAAGGAACAAGATAGGTGGCCCGTCCCAAGAATCATTGCTCATGAACCGCTTGGTCCTGACAAACATTTATTGTCCAAAGACTGACTGAAGAGTTTCTGTTCACAAAGCACGTAGAAGTCCTGAGGATGACATCCCCTCCGCTCGGTTCATAATGCCTTTTGCGCCAGAAACGGTCGTCGATGTCACATCTTGGGATGCCTGCTGGAGATTTGCGCGAAGTCCAAGACATCAGACGGTTAGTCAGCGCATGTTTGGGAAGGGTTGTGTAATGTTGAAAAACCAAACAAAGTCTTCTCCTGTGTCCTCAAGTCTATCAAGACGAAAAACATGTGGCGCTCCAGGACCACCAATTCCAGTGATGTGCGCTGCTCCAAAACGCTCAGATAGAAACCCTTTCCTGAAACAGAATTCCGCTGAGGCACTGGGATCAGGACAGAGAAGAAGAAACCAAACTGTGACTTGCAGAAACACACCAAAGGCTTAACCTAAGCGAAACTCAGTTTCCAGTCGCGATACTGCGTTAGCAAATATGCTTTGCGATAGTGCTTCTCCAATGGGCGCCTTTCCGTGGAATCCATAAACTTTTGAATGGAATCAACATAGGCCTTGGGAGTCCACATCTCGGGTACTGACTGCAAATACTGTGCTACTTGGCTGAAATAGCCATCGATATCTTCATGGGAATGCCCCGAGCTCAAGAATGACACTTGCGTTGCGCGTACCTTGCGAAGAGCTGTCAACAGATTCAGTTGCTTCAAATACAGTTGTTCTTGATTTCTTTTGTGCAGTTGTCTGCCTGGACATGCACTGTTACACAGCGCATGTCCAGGCGCCGTGCTACAACGGAAAGTCCATGGGATAGTATCTCGCAAGACCTGGACGAATTGCATGTCACAACATGCGGGGACATCGCTGTTGCCAACAAATGGCCGTGTATGATGAGAGTTGTCGATGCCAGCCGTGGTTTGTTCATTGCGTTGAACTCCTTTGAATATAAGCTCAAGGACTTGGGCCAGGCATGCTTGCCTTGATCCATGCTGTCCAAGATGCAGGACAGGGTGTACACCTGATTGTTCGCGCTTTCCAGCCTTGATTGAGCCCTTATGCTCCAATAGTGCTGTCTGTCGCGGTGCTGACGTGAGAGGTGTTTGAATAAGAGTTGTTCTTGAGCTCGACGCGCAGGTCCTTGGTGACCTAACTTCCTGAGGATTAGCCGATGCTTGACACATTGGCCACACTTGCTGTGATGACTCCGGAAGCGGATCCGGAGTTTGTCACAGAAGTCACGTTGCCATACCTAAGGCTTGCACGAAGCACAACAACACGCCTATTGTGTTTTGAAAAAAAACTTTTTGTACAAAACAAAGTTTTGATGCCAAGCACACTTGTGAACAGCTTTTTGCAAATCTTCACGCCAGGAAGGGCAGCGACACACTGCATCCAGTAGTCGTTTATCGACCCGTGCGGGAGATGTTTGATGCCTTCTCTGTTCATGGTAGGAGGGTCAATCTTGTTGACCCCATGTCGTGGGCGTTTGTTGCTGTTCAATCCATCTGGGATGCTCTCAGCGGCCTCATTGTATAGCTTGGTAAGATATCCATGAACACTGAACCAAGCAGGCGATGGTGTTTTTCTGACCAGTTTTGACATACCTTAGGTCAAAGGGCGGGTCCTCTGCATTTTCTGCAAGCGCCCTTCGCATGCGCTCAAAACGACCCTTGCCAATCCCCATAAGCTTGGCGAATCCACGATGGCAAATTGAGTGACCTCCAAACACCAAATGGCGCGATCCCCGGCACGCCTGCTCAGACTGCTGCTTCATCAAGCTGTAGACCTTGAGAGGCTGGTGTTGGGACAGCGGGAATGATACTGGAAGGGAAAGGCCTAAGTCCCTGACATGTTGATCCTTCTCAAGCTTCGTCGTTTGAATGAAGCGCTGGCGGAGCGAAACCCATTTATCCCACAAGTGCCAGCCAACCCTCCATGGCCGGAAGCACTGCGATGAACAACCGCACTTTGAGTTGATCAATTGCCTGAGCTTTTGTGGATCGGCTGAAGTGTCAACCTTAGCCACCTTTCTCACGAAGCCTCGACCCGGTCGCTTCGCCCGCCGACCGCTCGGCGTTGGTTTCTTGGATGGTTCTCCAGCCCCATCGTCACTGAGTTCATCAACATTTGCCAACGTAGTTGACATAGCCCCCACCTAGCACAAACATTTCCGTATGGTTACCAACGATTCACGACCCCTTTGACCACCCACCTGTTTCCCAGCACAGGCGGAAGAACTTGAAGCGCAACTCATGCTCAAGCCTTGGATGGTTGTGGGGCATGGGAAGAAACCAAGAGAAGGGTCTACGTAAGTCATGTTCTGAGTGGAAAAAAAGCCAAGTGGCTGAAGGTGAGCAGACCCCAGATTGCGAAACCCAAAACCAAACGGGCCATGGAACCACAAAGAAATGAACTTTAGTCAACATAATTCAGCATTGTTAGTTAAAGTTATGACATGTTTGAAGGCAAGTGTGACCACATATGCACCATGTTTCGCAATGACAAATCAAAACTGTGAAGCCATATCAAAATGCAAATGCGACATGCATGTCATGTGACATGTGAGCCCTGAAGAAGCGGTAACGCACTGAAAACATGGGAGATCATGGGAGAGACATCCAGCTTCAGGTTCGAATGGAAGACATGCCAGAGGGACGGAACACGCAGGCCGCACTCCAAAATTGGAAAACAGCTGCGGGTACGAAAACTTGAAGATGCTCTCGCAGTTTGTGTTGTTGCAGGCTTCAACTAAAAAAGACCAATGTTCGCACCACTCTCCATGTTCTCGCCCCTGTCAGATTCCAAGCTGCGGTAAGCTTATGTCGGTAGACCACAGCCTGCAAGGATTGTTGCACCTAACTTACAGCACTGAATTGCAAGGACTTCCAACACTTCTGATAGCGACCCGTGGGATCAGCCAACTCTTCAATCTAGCATTTCAACTCACAACGATGACGGAAGTTCATTTCATTTCATCCAACACATCTAGCTCATCCCCTAGCACGGTGCTCAGAAGCCAAAAGGTTCAAGGCCAATCGGCAC